TATTAAGGTCATTGTCTACCCACAATCCCCTACTTTACAGATTGCAATGGTGAAAAGAAAAAAATAATTTTTTTAGGTAAGCCCTGTCCACAATTCAACAACCATATTTTTCTATGTATAACATACACAAGGTAGTGTCCTTGTTGTTGAACTCCTTCCTCATCTCTCAGGAAGAGTCACAGAGAAGTTTAGACTACCTCTCCGACAACGAAGGCTCTTCAAATTCTATATGAGGTTTGAATGCTGTATCTGGAACTTTATGTTATTGGTATCTTTATGCATGTAGTTGTGGTAGCAGATTAAGCTGTCTTAATGTAACTTCTCTTGAAGATTGGCATTCTGTGTTTGATAATTTCATTTGATAACCACTTCAGTTTACAAATATAATATTCACTTGTATTTGACACCTTCATTTCTGCACTATCTCTATCGTAATACAGTAATGTCCCCACAATGCTATTAAAATTGCTCTGTCAAAATTCACTTGCCACAATTTTGTTGCACATGGTTGTAAGTGATTTTATTTGTTTACTGTTCACATGGCCTTAAACTCTTTCAGCTTACTTGGAATGCTCACACTGTATGCTATTGAAGTGGGTTGGTTATCAATGATTAGTGGAAGGGTTGTCTATAGTTGCAATTGCCAGTGTTGCTGTTGTCTTTTGGATGCTGATCATTCCTGATGCTGATGCAGACCTTGTGCTTAGAAACATACTAACTTGTTACATGAATGAGTTCAAAATTTAAATTTGATTTTTGTTATTTTGAATTAAGATTTAGCATAATTTATTCCTTTCTGTATATTTTACCCTTACCTATTGCTGCTGAATTTGAATGGGTTATGATGTATTAATATTTTACATACAGTTTGTGCATTTCCTCTGTAATTTTGCATGGAAGTTTTTGCTGCATTTACATCAAGCTATGGTAGATGTCATTTGATTCAATTTTTCTTGAATTTTTTTAATCAGAATTTTTCTCAAGACACTTATTACTGTTTTATTTCTCAGGCTATAAATGAAAGGATTTAATAAGGGAACTACTATTGTAAACAAAATAGCAGCTGGTATGTCTTTATCCCCTTCTTCAAGCAAATTTGGTCTAATGTACATGAAAAAAAGAGATCCATAGAATAATGAAACAGACAGAAAATGGGATGCACAAGTAGAAAAGGCTTTGACCCTTCCCTCTTTGGATTTCATTTTGAAAATAGTAAAAAGAATATAGAGATAAGATATTAAGACACTACCTATGGTGAAGACTTGAATTGAGCCTGAAAAGATGAATAGTACCAGTTCATTGACATAAGGATCAACACAGGAGAGTCTATACAAAGGAAGAATATCACAATAAAAATGGTTGATATGATTCAATCCACAGAAAATTAACCTGAACAGAAACCCTACATGAATCATGGAATGCAGGTTTCCAGCTATGAAGGCTCCTGTGGTCATCTGAATGCAGAGTTTCTTGGACATCATGGTGTGGTACTGCAGTGGGCTGCATATGGCCACATAGCGGTCATAGGCCATTGCTGCCAGAAGAAAGCAGTCTGCAGTTTCAACGGTGCAAAGGACATAAAACTGTGCCATACATTCATAGAGGGAAACAATTCTGTCTTCAGAAAAGAAGTTCTCTAACATTTTAGGAATAACAGTGCAGGCACAGCAAGAGTCCACAAGAGCCAGGTTGCCCAGAAAAATGTACATTGGTGTGTGTAGAAGACGTTGTGTAAAAATTAAGGCCACCAAACCAAGATTCCCCACCATGGTGATCAGATAGATGGAAAAGAACACAACAAACAGAAGAATCTTCATCTCTGCGTGATCTGTAAATCCTGCCAGGATAAACTCATTTTTCATGGTACAATTTTCTTTTGCCATACCTGATATCTCTGAAAAAAA